GCCTCCAATCCATCTCCATTTCTTCCTGCTTATTTGTTGCACAATCGCTTCCTGGTTGGTTGGCGCATTGCCAGAGATCCCTGTTTCTGATCTTTTATGGCTGGCCATCTGATCTTGAGTAGTATTGAGCGAAGACAGCTGTTGATGAAGGTCTGAAGTTTGTTTGAGATGCTCTTCATGACGCGCTGGCCAAGTCTCTGATCTTTATAGTAGCACTGACTTCACACTGGAGTTGAAAATCCGAATGTTGTTTCCATTTTCATGCTGAGTGCTGTTGACCTCCACACAGGCTTGAGAGTAATGAAAGCTTGTCTTACTTTTCCGACTCTTGCTTTGATATCCTCGTCAGTTCCGTCCGCCTGTAGTTAAAACGATGCTTCCGAGGTAGGTGAAGGAGGTTGTTGAATAAACACTTCACATCCAACAAAGTTTATTACAGACAGATAGACTGAATGTGTCATGCATTCTCCATTAGATCCAATTTTGACAGATTTCTTCCCCTGCTGAGCTTGAAATTGGTTCATTAAAACAAGTAATAGGTTCAATGGATTCTTATTTTAGTTATGTTGATGATACACTTATTATTCTTGATGAGAAAGCCGACAAGAATGAAATGAAGCGCCTCCAACGCCCATATTCACTTGTGAAGAAGAACATGGTGGTAGATTACACTTCTTTGATGTCCAGTTGAGTAGAACAGAGGATGGTTCACTCAAGAGAGATTTCTATAGAAAACCTACGTCTGTAGGACAATATACACATTCCTTCAGCCTCGTAACAATCCGATGTAAAATCAGTTTGGTCAGATGTCTCACAAGTGGAGCAAGAATGATCTGTACCAATAATTCCCTAAAAAATGTATTAGAATACATCCAAAATGCGCTGATGCAAAAAGTTCATCCTAGTAGATTTGTAACAAAACACATGAAACCGATAACGGTTAATACGAAACAACTGTTCTTGAAACTGCAATTCAATGGGGACGTGGCTAGTGAAGACCTACATCTATGATAACCTAGACTCGTAAAATGGGCTTATACTGCTGCCACCCTTTGTCATTTCCTGGCCAGCTTAAGGTGAATGCTCAAACGAAAGATAGGCTACCTGCCTGAGCAACTTCTGTGTACATTTACAAGTTTACCTTCTACTGCGAGGAAATTTATGTAAGGAAAGCGGAAAGCTCAACTAACACATTACTGAACATCATCCTTCATGGCTCCGCAAACGACAAACAAAAAATCTATAAGAAGCTCTATTTTCCATTTATTTAGTGGATGGTGACTAGCAGTGGAATCCAGGATGCGCATTACGTCCTATGTTGGACTCCTCAGCCAATGGATGTACTTGCATTCCCAGTGAGTAATGATGTTCCTAATCAATCGAAGGGAAAAACTAAAATTCAATTAAATAATTAATATGACCTGTTGCACAAGAGGTGGCTGTCATGGCCCAAGTGGTCTAGTGGATAACGCTTTGGCGTTTGAAATTATGGACACTTGGTTCGAGCCTCGGTGGGAACATCATCATCACTCACTGAGAAATGCAGGTACATCCACTGGCTGACGAGTCCCAAATAGGACGAAATGCGCCTTGTCCTGGGATTCCACTGCTAGCCACCATCCACAAATTAAATACTAACTAAATGCCCAGACATCGTCGAAGCATCTGCACAAGAAGTAGCCGACATGTCAACCTGAGTCGGGGCACTTCGGGAAAACCTCAAATTCAATTAAGCTCAATTTTGTGTCAGTTCATTGTTAGAGGTCACCAGAAGAGTCTTCAGGGTTATCTGTCGCATTCCATCGGATCTTCCGAAGGGAATTTGGACCCGTCTCTTACACACAGTCGATTCTATGGACATTTGTGAAAACAATCCTAGTTCTTGCATACAAAAGGAGTTTGTTCTATCCTTGTCTCTCCCTTAATTTAGGTACACCCAATTAAAATTTCCGAACCTTTCATCGTCTTCATTTCTTTCGTTCTTCCACATCTATTTCAACTCTGACTATCTATCCACTTCATCTTTAGGATTACGTAGATTTGAAAAATTTCACCATATTTATTACTGAATTTGCATTGCCATTATTATTAAATAATTTTTCTTTTGGATTTCATGTGGAACACAGAGCTTCAACCGCACACCTCCACTATACCCTATCTTCTGAGATACTCTTCATCTGTACCCACAATGGTCCATAGTATCTCAACCCTCCCTCGCACGACATCCATCATGTCACTCTCAGACGCCCCACTCGTTGCTTCCTATTCGAGAGCGTAGCGCACCACGTCAGTTGGCGATCTCCTCAGTCTATACCTGATCCACCTCTACTTTCTTCTGCGTATTTTTTGAGCAGTAGATCTTCGGTTGATTTGTGGCATATTCAATCTAACCGGCTATCTGATCTTCAGTATCGATTCAACGTAGGCAACTGTTGACTGATTAAAATGCTTTCCGTGACGTCCACGCCAACTTTTTGGCCCATATAAAAAAACTGACTTCACATTTGTGATGAAAATCCGAATTATGTTCTTTCTTCTGAGTGCAAAAGATTTCCAAACTAACTTCAGAGTGCTGAAGGTGTGTCTTGCGTTTCTTATTCTCGCTTAGACATCCTCCTCCGTTCCACATGTAGCGGAAACGATGTTGCTTAGATAAGTGAAATAAGTGACCTCTTTCAAATGTATTCCGTTGATAGTGATCGGTGTTGATTGTTCTTGTTGGTATGTGGGTATCATCACTTCTATGTTTACTTGAAATCCTGACTTTGCAGTCAGCCTCTTCTACCAACGCTGGATTCAGGAAAAACAAGTCATGTATTGATCAAATCGCCACACTACGGATCATCATTGAACAAAGCATGAAATGGCAATCACCTCTCCGTCTCAACTTCATCGAATTCGAAAAGGCATTCGACAGCGTCGATTGAGAGGTGATTTGGCAACTGCTTCGCTACTACGGGGTGCCACCGACAATTATACATCTCATCCAACAGTTATACGAAAATGCTTCATGCCAAGTAATCCACAACGGGAAACTTACAGAAGCCTTCGAAGTGAGGACGGGAGTGAGGCAAGGCTGTCTGCTATCGCCAATGATTTTCCTGGTTGCAGTAGATTGGATAATGAGACAGACAACGGGCAATAAGGAAACAGGCATAAAATGGACTCACACAAAACAACAACTTGGAGGATCTGGACTTCACCGATGATGACATATGTCTGATTTCCCACAAACTGGAAGATATGCAATTGAAAAGCAACAAGTTGGCGATAGAAGAAGCATCAAAGATAGGACTCCAAGTAAACAGAGGTGATGAAAATTCCTGGCCAACAGCAACAACAACGACAGACAACAATCAGCCAGCGTGAATGAGAAAAATCTGAAAGAAACAACCTCCTTTACCTACTCACCTACAGGCGCACAGAACTGAAGAGAATATTAAAGCAAGGATCGGGAAAGCAAAGCAAGCCTTCATTACTCTCAAGTCTGTGTGGAGGTCAACAACACTCAGCATGAAAATGAAAATAAGGTCCAGATTTTTAACTCCAATGTGAAGTCAGTACTACTTACTATACGGATCAGAGACTTGGTCAGCGAGTTATAAAGAGCACCTCAAACAAACTACAGACCTTCATCAACAGCTGTCTTCGCTCATTACTACTCAAGATCAGATGGCCGGCCATAAAGGATCAGAAACAGGATCTCTGGGAGCAAACTATCCAGGAATCCATTGTGCAACAAATAAGCAGGAAGAAGTGGAGGTGTATTGGAGGCTATACTCTGAGGAAACCAGCAAGTGACATCACACATCAGACTATCGCTTGAGTGGAACCCGAAAGGGAAGCAGCGAGTTGGTCGTCAGTGCGTGGGTGACTTGGAGGAGGTCATGTGAAGAGGAGATGAAAGCATGTGGCCAGACTTGGAACCAGGTGAAAACTTTAGCGGAGAACCGAACGCAATAAAGACGCGCGGCTGAAGCCCTATGTTACTCTAGTTATCAAAGGAAACAATAATATAATAATAAATAATCGGTGGTCCAAAGTATTCCTATCTTGTCACTCCCGATGCACAGTCTTCCGCATAACCCAGTCCACCACATTCAGGAATATCTTCAGTGATAGTAGGCAGCCTAATATTATCATACAAGCATCATTATTCTTCCTGTCAACCACCAACCCACTGTTGTTATCCTCATAATATCAATGACATATTAACAAGAGTTAACACTTTCAATAGCTTTAGATCCACAATTTCACCATTATTGATCGGAAATAATTTTCTATATTTAAAGCTAGGCATTACATTAGAGTAAAGCCTGAATAAAGATCCGATTGAAAATAGTATTGTTCACTTATATTTCTTGTTTTATTCAAATAGTGGTTTGTAGGAATTCGATTGATGGGCTATTGGTTCGGGTCCCAGTGGCTTAATGGTCTACGAGTTCTCCCTAGGTTTGAACCCTGGTGGTGGGTGGGTGCGTACTGATGAAGAGTCAGTCCCAAACTAGTTGGACGAAACAGCTGTCCAACAATGCTGGCTTGTTTCCAATGCTTCTCCAACCGATGGCAGCTCATGATGAAATCCTGTAATCAATTTCTTGTTTTAATTTTAGGGAAATGAGGATATTTATCGATTTTCTTTTTATAAATGTTCAGTTTAAAAATGAAATTTCATACGGAGATAAGGACAATATTTTGTCATAAAAAGATATATTTTTACATGCTTCAAACAAATTTACACACGAGAAATAACACACTCCGCTTGATCCTGGTCCCAAAACAAGCGACATTAAAGTATAATTTATAAAAACCGGCTTATAAGCAACACGAGTCACGTGTGTTTACTGTACAACTGCCTGTTTAGTTACTGTGTAGACGGACAAAACCGTAGTATATAAGTATATACAAAATCATCGCCTATTATGCAACTTTATCTTTTCTTTTACACACACACACACACAAATATATGTATCTACATTTACAAGACAAAGACGATTACTTTAGGCCTTCTTGACAGTGACCTGTGGAGAGGATGATAATGAGGAATCACAACTAATCGATGAAGACGACTCAGCTGCAGCAACATCAACACCAATACCAAGAAGAAGTTCTTTCAGTATATTTTCAACAATTGAAGGATTAAATTTATTCGAATCTGTATATTTTGGATTAGAGATTAAATGCTGAACAAGCTTCTTCAAAGCTTTCTTTTTTCCATTCAAGTATTGTTTTACCTGTTGTGAAGAGGAATTAAAAAAGCATACAAACAAACAAAAAAGATTAAAAAGCGGTTGAGTAAAAGAATTAGAAATGAACAGGATTAATAGAATTGTCACATATACTAATTCAGTTAGAGTTATCCATGCAGTAAATACATACTGGTTTCAATGGAAGAGAGATAGTAAGAAGCATAGGGTAAGGTTAAACTTTCAGCACCACTAACAACCAATCAGGAAACGACCTTCAACGGACCAATCACAATAAAGTGGCATTTATGATAAATGGAAACGTATATTTATAGAAGAAAAAAACATAAAACTGTTACAGGGGGCATCCTTCTTTAACATGTGAGGGAAACACCTCCCAGTTAAGCATCGGACTGTCAACAGAAAAGTTACACCACATTTTGTACATATATTCATCCAAATAACTATAAATGACATCCTTTTGAGATCCATTTATAGCCCTTATCCTATTTTTCAACCTGCCCCGAAATCCTTCAATAGAATTTCTATTTCTCCCCGTAATGGGATCCACGAAATCACTGGAATGGTTCACCCTGTGATGAATATATCCCAGGGATGACAGAGAATTGTAACCTTTCCATTCGTCCGTATGTATTATAGATCCCCGGTTTACAAGTCTCGTAATAATAGGTATTAAAGTAGTCGCTTTGCTGTCTGCTATCCTTTCGACGAATCTCTTTCGGAAGGGGGTGTCATACAAACCTATCACCCAAATATTGTTTGCTCGCTGGCCACCACGGTTGTATTTCTTCTTCACCAACACAGTTTCTTCTCCACCCAACAAAGAAGTGATTTCCTCCATTTTCCACGAAGCAATATCTCTGCAATGCTGATACCCTTTGAACTGTTCAGACTAGGCTATTATCCATCTCAGCAGCTGCGGCTCTCACTGGCTGTTTCACGACCCAGTATTTGCAGATATACAAAATTTGCGTTAAGGAGACCGTGTGACCTTGCAAAAAACGTTCCTACGAAATATCAAAATTATCAGCTTACCCTCTTTAATGCTAACTCGCTTCAAACATATTGCACAACGATGGATAAATCCATCAGTTGGTCTGCTAAGGATTTTTAAAGTCATAACACCACCACATGAAAAAGTTCTCTTCTTCCGAAGCAACCTTAAATCCAGGCAATACTGGAAAACTTTATCCTCCTCGAATTGCAACCGTAACTTTTTTAAGGCACGCACTTGAAATTAATCAAGCGCTATACAACATTGAACTAACGTTCGTGAATCTCATTGGATAATTCGACGTCGTTCGCTGATTAGTGGTTAGTGGTGCTTAAAGTCTTAACTTGGCCAAGCATAGTTTACCTTCAACTGTTGGTTTGCACGAATTTATTTGGAAGTAGGTTTCATCGCAAGTTGATATCAGTTAGAGAATCAATAGAGGAGTATATTGGACACCTGTTTCATGGTAGTTTGAAACTCTTTATCACTACGCACTCCAGTCAGGATTCGAGCTCAGGACATTCCAATCACAGCGTGAGCTTGTAGTATATATTCAACTACTGGGACTCCACCCAAGGACGCATGAATTCTAGCTTCCTGTCAGTTCGTCATATGCATCGAGTGCAAAAACCAACCAATGTCGTAATCAGTGTCAGCTCATAATCAAATCTGTAACCAGTCAAATCCCTGCGAATAGATACATAGCATTCTGTTGCTAATGCAGTATTGAACTGTGGGAATAATATTCAGATGTTAACACCAACAAATACAATGGTTGTTACTGTGAGAATAATATTCCACTGGAACACATTGTATCCTACCACCACAACGAGTCACTGGATGGTGTCCCGGTGGCTACATGGTCTATGAGTACATCTAGTAACCGGAAGGTCTAGTGTTCAAACACCAGTGAAGGCGGAATACTTCAGTCTCCCTAACTAGGATGGGAGAGCTGTCCAGAATATTATACGCTAACAGACAACATTTGTACACATACCCACAAACAAATAAATTTTCATTGGGAAATAAATAACCTAACAGTCTACAGATTCATAAGAGCTACGTATAATTATACACTCCCCTCCCTTAGGTGATATTCAGTTAGGTGAATAAAAATTACCATTACTAGACCACTGCTACTCAGTCACACGCACACACATCGTCCAGATCCGATTTCCAGCCGTCTCATTCCTAAACCTGGATTATTTTGATAGCCTTTAGTTAATCGAGAAAAGAGGGAAGGTTGAGTGTGATGTTGGAAACCCTATTTCTACACCACTATTAAACTTTTAGCTTCTTGAAGTACTATGTTCCACTCCGAATGCAAGGTATCCACACAATTTATGAGAGGAAATAAAACGCCTTTCCAATGCTTCAGAAACACGAAAGTATGAATACTTCGAAAGCATAAAATGATTACGCTTATTTCTACAAATGCTGTCATACTACTAACATATGAAGTAAGTAGCATCGTAGAATTGGGAAAATTACCAAGAGTAGAAATGGCTGAAAATCATATTTTTATGCTGTTTCGCCCAACAGTAATTTCAGCATGTCAGCTTTCGTCTCAACTAAAGATATCAGTGAAAATCGTTACACTTAAAGCAATGATAGCATGAGACTTTAACTAGCGTGCGTATGTTTATACACATCCAAAATAATCTCACATAAACTATGAAAAAAAGAAATGCGCATTTGTCACATTCCAATCAGGTTATGCTTGCCTCATAAAGAACTTACTACGTAAATTCAATTCTACATTCATTCACTACAGGATGAGGATAACATATGATTCCCCTGTCCTCAGTGTTACAACGTACAGGCCGAGTTTCATTCAAAATCAGTCGCAATAAAGAACCGGTAGGAATGGTGATCATGTGGAATAAATAAAATAGAACAAGTAGCAAAATTCTAACGAACATTTCTTAAGTATTGGTGGGTTGTAAGGATTTTGGTTTGATTAGTTGGACGATTTTATCATGAGGTGACATTAGTTAGAGAACCATTGGAAAATCACCAGAGAGGAGTTCTGGACAACTATTTCATCCAACTAGCTTGGGACTATTCAGCAGTATGCACCCACCCACCCCACAGGGTTCGACCCACGAACTTCTGGTTAGAAGGCTAGCTCGTAGGCCAATCATCCATAGGGACCGATCCAATGGCCGGTACATGAATGCTAACTTCTGCCAATTCACGATGTACAGCAACCCCTAGCCAATGTCACCGGAGGAATGTATCTTCACTGACACCTGACCCTTATATTATTATTTTATTGTTCCCTCGGGTTCCTAGTGGAACACAGGGCTTCAACTCCACGTCTCCACTTGCCACTTCTGTCTTTTGCTGTATTTTCCACCTGCATCCATGTTAGTCCATACTCTTTCAACTCCTCTTCACACCATCTCCTACATGTCACCCTTGCACTGACGTCCCACTCGCCGCTTCCTTTCGGCCTGGTTCCACTCGAGCAATCGCCTGACGCGCGCGCGATGTCACCCAGCGGCCTACTCACCCAGTATCCAATCCATCTCTTCTTTCTCCTGCATATTTGTTGTTTGGCGATTGGTTCTTGTTTTGACTGTTTGTTCCCAGCCATAGTTTCTTGGTGGTGATTCTCTCCGGCCCGGCCATCTGATCTTCAGTACAGAGCCAGCGAAGACAGTTGTTGGTTGATAAAGGTCTGGTCTGCAACAGGCTGTTGGAAATATTCTTTGTGACCCGCCCGCCCGCCAAGTTTCTGATCCGTATAGAAGAATTGACTGACTTGACGTTTCCATTGAAAATTCGAATTTTGTTGTTGATGCTGGCCGAGTGACGAAGATTTCCAGACCTGACCATGCTGTGCCCCAATGTTCACAACTTCTCACTGGAACCCTGAATAAGACAGTAAGGCTGTCCAGTACTCCTTCTCAAGTTTTCTAACCGATATCAGTTCATGTTGAAATCCTGAAACCTATTAAATCATTATTATTAATATTGTTAGGTGAGACAATTTCGGTTGTTACACAGAAATCTCAATATCTCTATAGAAAAATTCGTCCAACCAGTATATCAGATACAACAGGTTTGCACTTCAAGATAATATTTCGACTCAACAGTAATAAATAGTTGATAAAAAGATGACAACTCACAAAAAAATACGTGTCATCATGAGTACTCAACTGAGAAACACGTAGGCATTGATCATGTTCACATAGTAGTTCAAGGGGGAAATGAATACACACTAACTGACTGACTGACTGCCTGCCTGACTGACTGACTGACTGACTGACTGACTGACTGACTGACTGACTGACTGACTGACTGACTGACTGACTGACATCAACAGGAAGTAAGACAATGAAAAGAGAGACAGGACAAAGACAAGGGCGGGGGAGGAGGAGGGGTAAAGAAAACCAATGACAATTCCAGGGGAGAAAGTGTATCAGAGTAATAGTGAGGGTAAAATCAAAAACATCATCTGTCATCTGAGCTAAATAGAAGTTCTCCTAGGTAGTACATTCTTTGTCACTGTTAACGAACAATCTGTTACCTATTTTCAATTTCCTTTTTTACAATAAGAATACTCAACGTGTGTTTTGCATAATACGGAAGTTGTTCACAAAATGTAACAGATCAACATAGATCTTCTGATATTTGTACAGATCAGATAAATAAATATAAAAGATTTAATAATGTGAAATATTCCCATATCATGAATTAAAAGTCATTCTGAATGAGGAATATTACTTTCAATACATTCTTCTCTTCAGGTTCTTACAATTATAAAATATAATATATTTTTGTTGTCGTTACAATAATGATAGCCAGTTTTATGCGGTGGATACATTCTTTTAAACGTAGAATAACACACTAGTTGTTATGGGGTGTCCTATTAATAATCTGAAACAACTACTTGTTAGATCTACAACAAATGTTCAGTTCTTGTTTAACAATGAAATGTACAGAAAAGTTGATGCAGTAGCCATGGGATCCCCATTGAGACCTATTTTCGCGAATATATTTCTAGCAAAACTAGCAAATAGTCCGT